GTGAGTATAATTAGGTAGTTCCATTATGGTTTTGTTCAGCTAGTGGAAACCAGAATAGAATTTGTTCTATAATGTGCAGCCTAGAGTAGCAATGCACAAAAGCGAAATACTGTACAGTATTACCAGAGAGCAAGTTTTAGGGATGCATGCAAGTTTGTGTAATACTTGGGTTGTTTCAGGCACCTGCACCTTTATTTTGATAGTTGTCAAGGTTTGTCTCTCTCAGTCCCTATGTCACCACCAAGAAAACCCTATCATCTCTCTTACCATACTCAGACAAGATGTAGACCATTATTATCAAAGATGCTGAACAGAACTCTTTCGATTTTTCATGCTTCTCAACTTTAGGCCAGTTGAATAAATCCTAACCTTGGCACTGTCTGATACCTTATGTAGCTGTTTTTTTCTGCTGAATGTTATTTCATTGAGTGCTCAAATGGATACTACTTATCACTGAGTGCTTGCTACAACATAGCAGTAGGGTGTGCTACACATGCCATTCCCCCCCTCCCCATGGAACTGAATTTACTATAAATTTACACGTCCCCAACCTCCCTCTTACCAGACCTAGCTATTCTCTGTGCTCCATGTCCTCCATTCTTTTCAATTGGATTGCTTCCCAACTCAGTGTTTCTAATCGTTGCCCAATGAAGATGATTTTACAACTGTTCTTATTTTTTTTAATCGGGGGGAAAGTAATGTCTGGTTCTTGTTTTCAGTAATAAATTCTGGATGCTAGGGTTCTACTTCATAACTGTTTTAATTGTTTTTTGTTTTGTTTTAAGTAACCCTTTCTGATCCAAGTGAGGAATGCCTTTTCTCTTCCAGGAGTCCTTGCATGCTGTTCTGAGATTTGCTCAAGGCCAGTCTTCCCTAACTCTTCACATGTTTTAGAAGACAGTTCCTATCAGACCATGGTGTCAGGGCAAATAATAGGAGTTTTAGTATTAAACAATTTGCAAACACTGTGATAGGGAAGGGTGTTTCAGTCCCAGATTCTATGGCCTAGAGTCAGGTCTCCCAGATCCTACTGTGTGTCCAGTTGTTGCCCAACTCAGGCCTGCAACATACTTAAGTACTCGCCTACAAAATGAAATCTATCATGGTCTGCAAGCTGATTTCCAAGAAAATTCACCTGCGTGAACCTGTCCTTTCATTGGGGAACCTCTGGTAAGTTTTCATGAAATTCTAGAACTCTGTTTGAAAACTACTGTACCATCTGAGCACCACAGGTTTCATAACATATGGTTCATTATGATATAGAATAAGGAAATTCACAAATCAGTCATCTGCATATTTATTTGGAAGTACAGTGGTGCCTCGCTTAGCGATTGCTTCTTTTAATGATGTATTCGCTTAGTGATGAGGTTTTATGAGCAATCTTGCACTCCGTTTAGCGATGTTTCCAATGGGGGAATTTCGCATAGCGATGTTCGGGACCATGCTTCGCATAACGATGACAGTTTGGGTCCCCCTGTTTCGCTTAACGATGTCAGTTTTCGCTATTTTTAAAGTGTCTTAAAATGTTTAAAAACTGTTCAAAATGCTTGGAATCATTAGTGCACCTTGTAAAACCTTTGCAAACTTAATTTGGCTTTGTTCTGAGTCTTCGTTAATTTTTGGTGCATTTTTCCCCCATTGGAATGCATTGACAGTTGTCAAACCTACAGTTCAATGCATTTCAATGGGGGGAGAAAAAATTCAACAAAAATTAATGAAGACTCAGAACAAAGCCAAATAAAGTTTGCAAAGCTTTTACAGGGTGCACTAACGATTCCAAGCATTTTAAACAGTTTTTGAACATTTTAAGACACTTTAAAAATAGTGAAAACAGACCTGTCAAAACCATTGAAATGCATTGAAACCTATTCAGTGCATTCCAATGGGGAAACCACGTTTCGCTTAGCGATGTTTCCTATGGTGATTTTGCTTAAGGACGGTAATCCGTTCCCATTGGAACGGATTATCCGGTTTTCAATGCATTCCTATGGGCAATGGTGTTTCGCTTAGCGATGTTTTCCCATAACGATTTTTTTGAACCAATCAACATCGCTAAGCGAGGCACCACTGTAAGTATAATTGTCTTCAATTGTAGCTATTACCAAGAAAGAATTGATTGTGGTCCTGGTCTGCAAATGTGTACAATGGTTGCCTCACAAGACGAATGCCTCGCAGGACAAAAAACTCGGAACACAAATGGTCTTGGTGATGGGGGTTGGTGACTCGCAAGACAAATGTTCCTATGGCCGTGCTTCCCAAGAAGAATGTTTTCTGTTTTATGTTCCTGCCTCATGTTTGCTGATTTTTAAATGCTTTTCTATGATGTTTAAAAAGTTAAAGTTTTTTGATTGAAATTTTTGAAATCATCTGCACAATATGTATGACTTTAAAGAGCACTTAATAAACCCTTTGTAAACCAAATTTGACTTTGTTCTGACTTTTTTTGCCCATAGGAACGCATTAATTAGATTTCAATGCATTCCTATGGGAAAATGCGTTTCGCAAGATGAATTTTTTGCAAGACAATATTAACTGCGGAATGAATTTAATTCGTCTTGTGAGGCACCACTGTATTAAGTTCCCAATTTGAGACTGGCTTACATAGACATGCCTTCCCTGCAACTGTGTGCTCTGATCTATGTGGACTTGGAGATGGAGTATTGTGAATCCAGCTGCACATGTGTAAAGCTAAGAGGCTATTGTAAGGACTCCAGTTTCATTGTTTTCAAGACTGGACATGGCTGGCCATCTCCTGATGTGTACAGACCAGTTTATCTTAGCATTTCTCCACGTGATCATGTATGAATGCACAATTGTATAGTGAGGATTTGGCAGTGCAAGCTAGCCCAGCTGTTGGGCAAAATAATAGGACATAACTTTTTGTGCTAGTTGTTAGTGAGGATGTTAATGATAGGCAGCTGACTGTTTATGGATGTAAAAACTTGTGCTATATCATGGCTAAGAGGCTGAGTTAAAAATTCAGAAACTGTTTGAAACTCATGACTTTAATGAACTCATTGTGTATCTACAAACAAGCCCCTTAGTCTTCCTTTTTCATCCTACTATCCTGATACTGCAGATGATAACACTAACCTACTTTACAGGATTACTATAAATATCACAATGATGTGTAAAAAATGTTCTGAAACATT